CATGTCTAGGGTGGAGATGTCTGGGGCTCCCTGGAGGAAATTTCACTGAGAATGCCTTTCTTTCATCAAAGAAGCTGCTTCTCACCTACAACAGAGGACAAGAGAGACTTTTTTCCTGGATGGAAACAACAATCCTGAACTTGGGGAGGGTCGGGGAGAAAGTCTTCAAACACTAGCATCTTAGCTGTTCCTTGATGTTTCCTACAACACAACCCAGTCAATCCCTGGGGTAGTTTGTGGAGGGGTATGAGTTTATCATTTATTTGAGTCCATGAATAAAATATAGGTACTGACTACCACTCAGGTACCCCCATCGCAGTTCCCCATTGGGGGTCCGGGGTCCACTTCAACGTCCACTCCTCACCCGGCAGTGGGAGATGTCTTAGTCTTGTTGTGCTGCTAATAACAGAACACCAGAGACTGCATAGCTTATCATTAACACTGATTATTTTCTCATGGTTCTGGAAGCCATGAAGCCCATGGTCAAGGTACTGGCATCTGGTGACAGCCTCCATCACGTTTATCATGTGGAAGAAGGCAGGAGGACAACAGCCCAAGAGAGTGAACCCGCTCTCATGATCCCTTTGCATAATGGCATTAATCTGTTCACGAAGGTAGAGCTCTTAGGACCCCAACACCTCCATTAGACCCCCGTCCAGCACTAACCCTGGGGATTAAGTCTCCAACACATGAATTCTGGGGGACATATTCAAAACATGGGGTGAAAGGGCGGATCTCAGGACTGGCCACATCTCCCTTTCCAGAGATGGAAAAGGCAGTGGACCTCCCAGGGTGTTGAACAGGATTGAGGCATGAGGAACAATTCTGCCTGAAGCCAGCCTTCATTTCTACAGGCTACGAGTATTTGCCAGAGCTAAATGACCTGGGAGGCTCCAAGCAGAGTGCTGTATTATCCCCAACCTACGGAGAAGGACACTGAGGTTCAAAGCCAGGAAGGAATATGCCTGCAATTGGAACAGGAGATCCAGTGTGGCAGAAAATCAAAATGATTTCTCTGTATTCCAGGCTTTTTGTCTCTGCTCCAGGTCCTGCGTGAGTAGTCATTAGTTTATTTGTCTTCAGTGGGTGCATTTCTACAGCCATAACTTTTGCTAAAATGCAGCCACACCAACTCATTCAATGTCCTTCTAAGCATTGCCCACTTCCACCTCTCTATCCTAGACTAGATCTAAAACTAGAAAAACTATAGAATTACCAACAAGGCTGCCTTGTAAATAAAAAATGCAGTCTTGCCCAGCTCTTGAGCTCTCCTCCCCTGTGTGATCCATGCTCCCTGCTGAATGGTCCATACTCACATAGAAGCCAATAAGCAAGAGAAGGTTAAAGTTTAACCAGGTCCACAGAATTTAAAATCTATCTGCATAGTCTAATACCATGCAAGCCCACACTCTCCCTCCAATTGGCTATTTTTAACTTTATCAGCAAAACCGCTGCTGCAACAGAGCTATATGATGGGCAGCTGTGAAGGGGTGCACCAAATCACTCAATATGCCTTTTTCCTGTAAAGAGACAAGACAAGCATCTTTCCTTTGCCTGGGAAGCTCACCTGCCCAACAGTCTAGAATTCATGTCAGCATCCAACAACTGGGCAAAACTGTTGGAAAACCAATAATGTCATCCTCTTCTGCACTGCCATTGCAAAAAGGTCAGAATGGATTTACTAAAAGCTTGCATTATGTGGGCAAAAGGCAGGAATTGATGTAAAAAATAAAATTGATATGTGGAAAGGGATTATGAGCAGCCAGTGTCTCGTTACTGTGAATCAAAAACCGCCATATGAAGAGTATCTGGGACTGCCAAGGCTCATCCAAGAGAACTCCGGCCGGAGTGCATAACTATATTCCTCTAAAGTATGAATTATATATTAAGCAAAGATTCTCGAATGTTTCATAAACCAAATTATCAAAAGCCAACTGTTGACCTTGTGTGTTTCCCTTTGTAAAGAGCCAGAACATATGGTCAGTCCAGAAGCCCAGTGTCTAGGATTCTGGGGAAGGGGGGTGGAAGACGTCCAAACCACAGTTTAAAAGAGACCTTGCAAGAGACCTAAACAAAATCCTGTCTCATCAACTCCTTAAAGAAGGGTACCACTATTTAAGTCCCAAAGGAGAATATTTCAGAAGCTCCTGGCAGTGACTATTTCAACTGATTCCAGTTCTTCAGAGCCAGTAATGAAGAAAATGGCACCCTCTCCCAGGACGAATGCAGACAGACCACTGCCAATGGACTCCCTTTCATGAATTCTCACACGTCCTCATTCACAAACACTTATTTGAACACCTATTCTACAATGGACTTTGTAGTGGGGGCTGTGGAGACTGAAAAATAAAAATAAAAGCATATTCTTGCCATTAGTTGCCCTCCAGTCTAATAAGGAAACAGATATAGAAACAAATAACTATAATACAATTGGATAATGCCTATGAGAAAAGAGATATATAAGAGGAATGGAACTTGCAGCAAGCTCACTAGGTGACTTGGGGTCAGATTATTTATATTATTTACACACAATAAAAACAGAGAGAGAGAGAGAGAGAGAGAGAGAGAGAGAGAGACTGGAACAAGTGCCTTCATATCCCTGGGAAGCTGAGGGAAAACTCTGGAAGATGACGTTTCAGATTTCTAGAAAGTCTTGCAGGCCTGAGGATGTCTGAATAAGAGACAGCACACAGGGGTGTGGAGATGCAAGAAAGCGACTGCTGATAATAAAAGGCTTCCTGAGGACCTCAGCAAGGTGAGGCCCTCCTCTGGACAGCACCTCCCACTAAGGAAATGACTGGTGGTCCTGCTGCTTCCCTCCAGCCAGAAGCTCTGGCCCCACAAAGTCCACCTGCCGCAGGTCCATGTGTAACCCCTCCTCACCTGCCTTTTCTTTCTTACGTGTTCTGCATCTTCACCAGAGATCATCCCATGGGAGTGACAGATGACTGTTTTTTCAGCCAGTAACCAGAGACCGGCCAAGCAGTGCTGCAGCAAAACTGGCCTCTACTTATAACCTGGCCCACAGCCAGCCGGGGGAACATGTTCCAAGGTCCCCAGGGTCCAAGCATATTTCATTGCTGCTATGTCTAACCCATCCTCCTAGATATTTGCTATTTCTGCTGACTAGAAAAATGGCATTTTGAAATGTAGTCTGTTGCACTGGGAAAAACAATGGATTAGGACAGAGGAGCATGGGAGTCTCTGCGGGTCCACCTTTAATTAGCTATGGCACTTCTGCCACATCCCTTAATCTCTCTGAACCTCAGTTTCTACACCTTTAGGACAGATGGAGTAAGTGACTTCCAAAGTCCTTTTCAGCTCCAAGATTTTCAGTGTCACTGTTACAATGGGCAGAAGCTGTCATGATACTGAGTTTGGCCAGGATCTGTGGCATGGAAGATGATTCTAGAACAAGAGTTGGCAAACTACATACAGTCCATGGGCCATATCTGGCTACAGCCTGGACATTAAGAATGGTTTTTATAATTTTGTAGTGGTGGATTGTAAGTTTAAAAAAAAAAGAATATGTAACGAAGATTATATGTGGCTCACAAAGTTTAGGATATTTACTATCTGGTCTTTTACAAAAAAAACAAAAACAAAACAAAAAAAACTTTTATTGACCTATGTTCAGACTGTAGGCCTTAGTTATTTAACACTCTGTAGCAAACAGTGTTTCCTGACCCTGCTTCAGTCTGTGGGGGATGAAACCTGCCTTTTCTACATTCTTCTCACTGAGAGGTAGGTCTGGGTCTGTCCTTTCCCCTTGACTCTATCTTTGCTTTGTCCTATAAAATACAAGTGGTATCAAGCCAGTTTGGGGGCCTAGGCCTTGCATAAGTGGCAGTTTCCCCACCCTGTCTCCTAGGATACTCTGCCAGTCTTGGTTTGCATCCCTAGAAAAGTAACAAACTATGAAGTAAAGCCACCATGGACTCTTCCAGACCAGTTCATCTGCTGGCTAGATGTCCCCCAGGGACCTCAGTCAGCCCCACACAGAGCAGAAGAACTGTCTAGTCAAGCCCTGCCCCAATTCCCAAATACCCAACAAAATCTTGAGATATAACAAAACGGTTGATGTTTTGAGGCTCTGAGTTTGGGGGTAGTTTTGTTACACAGCAATAGATCACTGGACAGAGTCAGAGTGAGGGGTGCATATGAAATGTGCAGCAAGCACCCCTCTGCTGCCCTGGGTCTGCATTGTCATAAGGACTTCCCATGATTCCCACATCAAACAAGGCTGGACGTGCTTCTTCATCCTGGCTCTGCTTTTGTGGTACAAGATTCCAGGACATGCTTGGGATCGTAAAAGAGCTCCTGGACCCTCCAATGTACCTGCTGGGGAACCTAGACTCAGCCCACTTACAGCCCACTCCCTGTGCTACTCACCCTCCAAATGTAGAACTCCTTCTTTGAAGAGAACATGCCCCCAAACAGCTGGGGACTAGATTGATTTCAAGGTACTTAAAAGCCAGGGTTGGGTAGTGCTAGCACCTAGCCTAGCACCTACTCAGGCATAAAATAGCTTCTCCGTCTGTTTAGTGGTTGAAAATAAGCAATGATTTGCATAAAGTTATTCATCATGTTTTATGTGAGAGCATGGTACTGGTCTATATAGATCGTCTCATTTAATCCTCATAATAATCTCAATCTCATCATTAGCCTTTTCTTAGAAATAGCAAAACTGTTTTGTCTTGATATGGCAAAATGGTTGACGTTTTAAGGCTCTGAGTCTAACAGATACTGTTTGACTTCAGTGCTCTTAACCACCGCCATACTCTCTCACACAGGGGAGGTACCCATCATCCCTGCCTTTGAGGGGCTCTGAATCTCAAGAAGCCTGAATGTAACTGCACACCTGGAAACATTTTGCAAAGCAGATTATGTAAGTGCCCAGCTCTGTCAGCAGAATTCTGTAGGATCCATGAAAGCTATTAGTTTACTATTGCAGCATAGCAAATACCACACATTTAATGGCTTAAAAGAGATTTACTTACTTGCTCACAGTTTGGTGGGTCCAAAGTCCAAGCATGTTATAGCTAGGTTCTCTGCCCAGGGTCATCCAAGGCCAAATTAATCTTTTTTCTCCTCTGGAATGCAGGGTCTTCTTCCAAGATCATATGGTTGTGGCAGAATTCAGTTCTTTGGTGCTTATAGGACTGAGGTCCTTTTTTCCTTCTTGGCTATCACAGGGGGCTGCTATCAGACCCCAGAAGTCATCCACATTCCTTATCACATGACCCTCTTGCTTAAGTCAGCTGTTTCAGTGTGACCAGGACACCTGACAAGAACAAAGTGGAGGAGGAAAAGTCTATTTTGGCTCACAGTTTCAGAGGTTTAGTCCATGGTGGGCTGACTCCCAAGCTCTGGGCCCAAAGTAAAGCAGAATCTCGTGGCAGAAGGGCAAGGTAGAGGGAATGTTTTAGTCAGCTTTTTTGCTGCTATGACTAAAGGATCTGACCAGAACAACTATAGAGGAGGGAAAGTTTATTTGAGGGCTCACAGTTTCAGAGGTCTTAGTTCATAGAAGGCTGGCTCCATTTCTCACGGCGCACCATGAGGCTGACCATCATGGTGGAGTGTGTGGCAGAGGGAAGCAACTCACATCACGGTGATCAGGAAGCAGGGAGAGTTGTCCACTTGCCAGATACATACACATATATATTCCAAAGCCACTCCCGATTCCCACCTCCTCCAGCCACACCCACCACTTCAGTCACAGCTCAGTTAATCCCTATCAGGGAATTAACTCACTGATTTGCTTAAGACCCTCACAACCCAGTCATTGTTCCTCAGAACGGTCTTGCATTGTCTCCCACATGAGCTTTTGGGGGATACCTCACATCCAAACTCTAACAGGAAAGCAGCTCAGGACATGGCCATCATGAAGCAGAGAAAGAGAGCTCCACTCACCAGGGACAAAACATAAACCCCAAAGTCACTCCCCGGTGACCCTGCACCTCCAGCCACACCCTGCTTACTTAGTTACTGCCCAGTTGATCCCTTTTGGTGGATTAATGCACTGTTTAGGTTCAGACTTTCACAACTCAATTATTTCACCTCAGAAAATTCTCCCATTTTCTCACACATGAGCTTTAGGGAGACACCTCATATCTAAACCATGACACTCTCCATCCTCAATGCCAGCCATGGACATCTTCCCTGAGGTCAAGTCCCCTTCACTGCCAAATCTTCAGGAAAAGCCCAGTCTCATTTCAGGGTCCACCTGATTAGGTGAGGCTCAACCAGGATACTCTCCTCCACGTCACCATTTGGCATATTGATTGCATTTACAAAAGCCCTTCAGAGTAGCACCTGGATTTAAGTCTCCTGGATGATGACGGGGAGAAGGTGTTCATACACTCTGGAGGGGGCTCTCAGGGACCATCCTCAAATTCTTCCTATCATGACAGCACAGAGAAGGAGCAGACCAACAAATAGAGGCTGCATCACAGGTTTGTCCTCTTGCAAAGATGTTGTTTCTCTCTGTACTCAGAGGTCCCAGAAGAGAGGATCTGTTCTGGAACCTTAAGGCAGATGAGTATATAGTAATTTTTAATCTGGGAGTGGGGCTTGGAGAGTAGGGAGTGCAGGCCCAGAAACAATGACTGTGCATGTTAATGTGCTGTACAAAGGTAGAGGCTGCAAACAGAGGTTCCCCCATGCTAGTTCCCCATCTTTCTCCTCTTAATAAGGTCTCTGTGGAGATGATTCACTCCAGAGGATATGAGCTGGGCAGGGTCTGCCTCTGCCTTTCCCCACAGCCCTGTGCTCTCTGCACAATCTGCTGGTTTTGCAGTTGAAGTTGATTACTGAATAATGAATTATCATTCTTTTTTATTTTATTTTTTTTATTTTCCAACCCTCTTCAAAAGTATGCTGCTCTTTTTTCTGTTTATTGAGGCTCAAAAATGAAAAGAAAAAAAAATTCTTCTTTTATCCAGAGGGGAAAAACACAATCTTACCTAAAAACCCCATTTTGGTCCTGGAGACAACAGTAATGATTGTTTTAATTAATATGATTTCCAATTTAGAGCCATTTCATTTTTTTTCTTTGGCTTGACAATAATATCTATAATGAAGCAAAGCTTCACTAGATAATTCCAGCCAGGACCACTTGACAGGGAGGGCTCCTGCCCTCTTGGAGAGCTGAGTCCCCTGCTGCAGAGGGGTGGGTGGGTGAGGAGGGGCTGGAGATGGCCTTTGTTCAGGATGAAGCGCGTTTCTGTGTCAGAGACTGGAGACATTCTCCAAAGTCCTCAGCGAGTCGCAGTAAAGAGATGCAGTATAACCCTCTGAGCCCCCTCTCCTCAGCTTGCAGATGGCCACCTCCTCCCTGGCCCCTGCAAGGCAGGCCCTAAGGCTTCGTTATGTCCTAACCTCTTCTTCTTAGAAGGACACCAGCCCTGTTGGGTGAGGGCCCACCCATACCACTTCATTTATCCTTGATCCCCTCTTTAAAGACTCTGTCTCCAAATACAGTTCCCTTCTGAGGTACAGGGGGTGGGGACTTCAGTGTGCTAATGGGGGGCTACAATTCAGCCACAGTGGTCACCCACACAGACATTTGAATGGCAGGGGGAGGCGCGCTGAGTTCCCAGACAACGATGCATTTGAAAACCACCCGAAGGTGGCTTCCTGAGGGCTCACCCAGGACAGCGAGCATGCCACGTGCTGAGGGAAGGGGGTCCCAAGGGCTGAGTCAGTGGTGGGGCAGAGTTTACGGTCCTTCTCCAGAGCTGACACAAAGTGCACAACCCCCTCCAGGCTCCATGGCAGGGGCTGCAGATCTTTTGTGAAAAGGTGTGTGTGTGTGTACATGTGTTTGTGAGGCTGGAAGAACCCTGACACAAGCCAAGATGCCTGAGCACCTGCTCCACCACCCAGTAGATACTTGGGCAGGGGAGGAGCCAGGCAGCCATGAGGAGGCTCCAGGGCTGAGAGGAACCCAGCCCAGCAAGCCCGAGCCCTAGAGCTGGGGAGCAACGCAGGTCTACTTGCTAATATTCAGGGATCGCTCAGACCACAGGCTCCTATTAAGTCCAATCACTGGAGGGTCAAAACCAAATTTTAAAAAAGATATTAATGTGTAGTAGCCAGATGCCTTGCTTTCTCTTGAATTTATTCATCCCAAGTATATCCCCATTTTCCTATTTGTCCTGGGAGTTCATAAAATCCCTTGGGAGAAGGAATGGTTCTGTTTTAGCCTTTTCACTGCTGGGATCAAAACATCTGACAAGAATAACGTAGAGGAGGACACGTTTATTTTGGCTCATTGTTTCAGAGATCTCAGTTCATAGATGGTTGGCACCATAGCTCTGGGCTTGAGGTGAGGCAGACATCATGGTGGAAGGGCATGGTGGAGGAAAGCAGCTCAGGACATGGCATCAGAAAGCAGAGAGGGACAAAATGTATACCCCAAAGGCATGCCACCAGGGTCCCACCTCCTCCAGCCACCCCTACCTGCCTATAGTCACCACCCAGTTAGTGCACTGATTAGGTTAAGGCTCTCCTAACCCAATCATTTCATTTCCACACTTCTTTGTACTGTCTCAAACATGAGCTTTTGGGGGGCAACTAGTATATCTAAACCATAACAAGCTTGTTCAACGGATGCAGGATTCTTTCAGATCCTTCCTCTGGGTTAGATTTTTCTCCTTGGCACTCGACAGTGTCAAACATGATATATGCTCTTACCTTTTCTCTGATTTATCCTCTGGCTCCTCAGCCTCTAGGTACTCTCCCTGGGCAAAGGGTCTGGACCCATACTTTTCACTGGTACATCTCCAGGACCTTAATTAGAGCCCGAAGAAGGACACACAATTTGGAAACACTTGTTTTGTGAACGAGTGCATTTAGTGAAAGCCTGCTGTGCTCCAGGTGATCTGCTACCCGTGAGAGAGAAGAGCATAAATAAGGTCTAGGGCCTTTCTCCAATTCCCCATCAGGAGTAGGATCCAATGTGCCTGCAAACAGTTAAAGCAAGGCGAGGGGCAGCGGAAGCCCACGGGAGAGACATGGGAAGGGGCTGCCAGCGGCCAGCCCCTCAGGAGACTTCACAGAAAGTAGATGTTTGGAGTCTTCCCAGCATAAACAGGTGGGAGTGAAGGAAGGGTGATCCATGCAGAGTGTGACAGCCCAGTGAGGATCAGTATGGCACCTCCAAGGACCTGCAATATCCAGGGTGCCTGGAGTTTTGGGTTCAGAAGTCCCCTGATCCCTGGGGTTATGCTCTGAATCCAAGTGTAGTGCCAAACTCTACATAGAGCTGTCCCTTGGTATTGAGGAGGTTGGCTCCAGGCTCCCCTCAGAGAATACCAAAATACACAGATGCTCAAATGTTTTATATACATATGTATAAAATGGTGTAGCATTTTCTTATAACCTACTGACATCCTTTACATGATCTCTAGATTTCTTATAATACCTAATACAATGTAAGTGCTATGTAAATAGTTTTTACACTGTATTGTTTAGGGAGTAATGAGGAGAAAAATATTCTGTACATATTCAGTACAGATATAAAATTTTAACAATCTTTTAAATATTCCGTTGGCTGAATCTACACATGCAGAACCCACAGATATGGACAGCTAACTGCACTGTTTTTTCCCTTGTATATTCATAGCTATGATAAATTTTAATTTATAAATTAGACACAGTAAGAGATTAATAATAATACCTAATAATAGAATGACTGCCATGATATACTGTAATAATAATCATGTGAATGTGGTCTCTCTCTCAAATTCTACAGGGCAGGTGGCATACACAGTATGGATACTGTGGACAAAAGGATGATTCACTTCCTGGATAGGACAGAGTAGGATGATGCATGATTTTTTAACACTGGGCAAAGGGGCAACTTAAAACTCATGAAATGCTTATTTCTGGAATTTTTCATGAATACTTTCAGACCATGTTTGATGGCAGATAACTGAAAGTACATGAAGCAAAATTGTATATAAGAGGAGCTGCTGTGTAAATCAAAGTGTAGGAGAGATGAGGCCAGAACACTGGAACTTTGTACTGGAAAAGAAATGGAATCTTGTTCTGCAGGAGCCTGGGAGGTCTTTTAAAAAGATTTCAGGCAGATTAGTAATGTGATTAAATTGGCCAATGTGGCAGAGTAGAGATGAGGAGGGGAAAGGCTAGCAGCAGAGATGGATCAGGCTGGCTCCGCAGTGAAGCGGCAGGGCCTGGAGGAGGAGAGCCAGGGGTGGAGCCAACACTCAGAAATGACCTAAAGACAGAAATGACCTAAGAAGGCAGAGAATGAGG